TGGACGCTGAGCCAGTGCAGCACAATCGTAGAGTCACACCATAAAGATATTTAATCAAGATTTTTAAATAGTTCCTTGAGATGTTTCACTATTCTTGCAGCTATGATAGCTCCCATTAGCTCCAATCTGGGTAGAGTTAATTTCTTAAGGGTTGTTACTCTGGACTTAGAAATTACAAAACTAGTACTAAAAGTACTTCCAGATGTTTTGTTCCTGAAGTATGCTACAGCTTCAAAGGACTTCAGTGAAGCATCGGAAAACATGTGTAGTTGCATGTCTTTTTCTACTAAATTTAATTCGGGAAAATAATATCGAGGAATATTCAAGTTCTTAAGTTCATTAATTTCATTGCACTATATAATCCATTGGTCTTTTAATTCACCACTAAACTCATCGTCCCAATCAATTCCAAGTTGCCATAATTCTTGTAAAATGCATTTAACACGAATCAAAATGGGGGAAATAAATCCAGATGAATAAAATATTTTGGAGGCAATATGAAGAACATTCCGTTTAGTGCATTTATTTGCATATAAATTTGATAATGAATACCTTAAATCAAGTTCAAGAATATCATTTTCATTATTCCATTTAAATCCTAAACTTTTAAATGAGAATCAGGATCTTCATTAATTCCTATTTTGGAATTAGAGTGTTTCCATAAATTTTTAAGTTCTTTCAAGTTTGTGTCAAATTTTTTCATTGTCATATTTGCATCCTTTAAAATAGAAACAGCATCTGTTGATAACTGAAAGGCTTCTTCTACAGAAGAACTTCCATAAAAGAGGTCATCAACATAGAGGAAATTATTCAGCATTTCATATGCAAAAGGATGCGCATTTTTATAAGCTTTAATATGAGTTTTGATAGTTGCTGCCAAAACAAAAGGTGAACAGGTGACTCCAAAACAGTGTCTATTAAAATGAAACATTGTAGGGGGTTGAGTTTTATCGCAATTCTTATAATAGANACAGAAGAACTTCCATAAAAGAGGTCATCAACATAGAGGAAATTATTCAGCATTTCATATGCAAAAGGATGCGCATTTTTATAAGCTTTAATATGAGTTTTGTTAGTTGCTGCCAAAACAAAAGGCTAATAGGTGACTCCAAAACAGTGTCTATTAAAATGAAACATTGTAGGGAGTTGAGATTTATCGCAATCCTTATAATAGACAAAACATAAATAATTTCTATCAAATTCCGAAACTTGTATTTGTAAAAAAAACGCTCGAGCAATATCTCCGCAAAATCCGATTTTATGTTCCCGAAATTTTAAAATTATTTCTACAAGATAAGCAGTTAAATTATCGCCGGAAATAAGACATTAGTTAAAACTTAAATTATTTCCGTGTTTACTACTGGCATCATGAACTATTCTTGTTTTTGTACTGGAAGAATTTTCTTTAAAAACATCTCTATGCCACATTGTATAGCCCACAAAACAATTAGAATTACAAATTTCGATAATCCCTTCTTTTAATTGTTCTTTCATAACATCATTATATCTTTCCAATAAAGATTCCTCAGTGTTAAACCTCCTTTCTAGTAAACAAAATCTTTTTTCAGTGATCTCAAAATTATTGCATAAATTTTCACCAGCAGTCTCAGATTTCCACAAATGCAGTGCCTCATATCTTCCAATTTCAAACTGCAACTTGTTTTCAAAATTAATAAGATGATTGGAGTTCATTTTTAATTCAATATTCCATACACATGACAAATCATTTGCAGCTGAATCAGCTAAAGTGCTACTAATGTTTAAACAGGAAGCCACACCCTTAAAAAGACCATCTGACACCTGTCCTACTAAAGAATCTCCAAACAACATCAGCTGAAGGAATAATTTATTGCTTATTTTCAATAACTCACCCTTTAAAGTGGAATATGAGAAATCAGCACCTAACAATATTTGAATGGGTTTCTTATCATCCCATGAATCAGCAATTTTAAATCCTAGAGAAAGTAAAGTTTCTATTAATTGGGGATCAAATTCTAAATTTCCTCAGTAACTAAGGCTTCAATGTTTATACTCGTGTAGGGGGAGACCTTCTGTGTAATGTGATATTAACACATTCCTTATTCCTTTTCCAAAGGATTTCCATTTGAAAATATGTAAACAAAAAGTTTTTCCTTTCTTAAACTTTTTCATGTTTAATGCTTTAGCCAAATCCTTTGGAGCAGAATCATGAAGTAAGTATTAGAGCTATTAATTATAGCAGTTTGCAATAAAGTACTATTAATTAAATATTGATGAGGTGAGGTTTAAAAACAGAAGACATTACCACTTGATTTTCTTGAATTTGAATAGTTTCGGTGTTATTTGGAGGAGAAGTTTGTAATAAATTGTTATTTTTTAACTTTGGGCAAAACAATAAATTATGTTGAAAACTTTGACTTATTTCACAACGTTTGATTTCAACTTTACACTGATTTTGCAAATGGTTTTTATAAAAACATTTGTAACAGCGTCCTTCCTTTTTTAATTTAAAACGATTCTGTTCATCAGTAAAGGTTTTGCATTTTAACCCTGTATGAATTACAAAAAATGCAAGAATTTTTAACAATTGTATTTAAAGTGGCTGATGTAGGAATATTTTTGTTTTTAGTATATCTAATTTCGTTTTTTGATCTAGCTGGTTTGTGAGTTTTAATAGAAATCGCAGAAACTGCATTAGCTGCTTCTCGAAATTCAATTTCAAATTTTCTGAATATCATTAATTCACTGATATCGCCCGATTTATTATGATCTCTTTTTCCATGATATTTTATTAAGTTATGAGGCAATTGTTTTAATAAAATCGGAATTAATAAATAACGAAATTTATCTGATGCATAGGTTGTAAATTTCTTGTACTGATTTCACTTTCATCATACAAATGCCTGTGAATATTTGAAGAATATTTAACTGGTTCGATTTCCAAGAGTTTGTTTACAAAATTAATTAAATCTACTGAATTTTCCATATCTATCTCAGTGTTTTCATCTCAGAAAAAAAATGGGTGAGAATTTCTCCCCCTTTCTCAAAAACAGGGTGAGATTTCAAAAAGTTAAGTGAGACTTTAAAAATTAAAAAAAAAAACAAACAAAAAAAAAAAACACCAAGAGACTTGAAAAAAATTCATTTCTTTTATTATAATGCATTTTTAACATCTTCTAATTTTTAAAGCATTGAATATTTTTGCTGCATCATCATATGGAAAATGTTCTACATCTACTTTTTCATCAGCTATTCTCATTAGGTTGCTCAAATGCGTATTTGTTTCGTTTTGATCGTTTCTACCCACATTTGTTTCATTTTCATTTGTCCGTTTCGGAGTAGAAGATATTGGCTTTACAAGGTATTTGTCCATCTTACATTAACGAGCAAAAAATTTGAACATCTTACATGAAGAAACCTTACCTACGGTAAACACGTGGTTGCAGAGAAATGCGTTCTGAAAGAGGTTCCGTGGTTCGGAAGGATGGTGTTCTGTTGTTCTTAAAGGTTCTGAACAATACTGGTAAATAGGGAAGCTAGATAATGGGGCAGATGTTGAAAATAATAAAAGATCCAGGAAGAAAAGTGAAACGGATTTTATTCTAAATGGCGCAAATGAGAAATTTTTTTCAAAATGCGAGAAATTCGCGAATTTTGAAATTGGTTTATAGAATGCGCGAATTTCTCGCGGTAATCATTTTTTAATGCGAGAATATAAAAAAATATGCGAGATTCTCGCGTTCTCGCGCTGTAGTGAAAACACTGTATCTTTTAGTCAGGTTAAACACGATTTATAATTTTTTTCTGTTAAAGCAAAACCTGCTACTTAATGATTCATTAAAATCTATAGCGCTACTGAAACTATTACAAAATTCTAAAAATGTAGTTGAATCACCATTAGAAGTTGGAATGTTAAGTTTAGGCAAATTTGTAGGAATCGGAATATTTTTCCTATCATTAACATTTGGAACCATAACATTATTAGTGGAAACTGATTCTTTTATTTTGAACTTTGTTAACAACATTTTAATTTTCATTTTGGAGTCACCTATGTTTTCATCATATTCCATAGAGTTTTTAATTATGATTAGTTCCTCATTAAGGGATTTTAGCTCAGTTCGTTTTTCTTCGAGATCAAGTAAATATTCTGATAATTGTTTCTGATGAATTTCATCTTCGAAATTGAGATTCTGTACAGATGTGTCAATTTTCGTAATTGACTTAGCACAATTAGATCTACCAAGCTTTCGTTTTGCTTTAAGTTTATGAATAGTTTCCAATTTCGACACATTGTAATTAAATATTAGTACAGTACCTGTTAAGTTAAAGCTTTCTGTTTCAAGTATTCCAAAATTTCAAGTAATCCTTTCTTGAATCCATTCAGCTAAACCTTTGCAATTACGATGGACACGTTTGGCCAATCAAAAGACTGTATTTTTACATATCGTAAAATGCGATTTCTTTACAAAAATACAGGCTTCTGATTGGCCTAATTGAGCCACCATAAGTGCGAAAATTTAGCTAAATTTCGCCATAATGTCAGCAAGGATATGGGTTTTTCGCATCTAGGTGACAAAATCAACAATCAGAAAATTACATTCGGCATGATGGACATAGAATTGTCAGAAAATCAATAAAATGGACCGGACGATATTTCGTCTGACCATGGGGGGGGGGCTTTATACCTGTTTTAGGTTCTAGTTAATTTTCCTGTTATATATATATAATGAGGTGAAAAATTTAAATACCTCTATAAAGTTTAGTTCTTCATTACTAAAGTAGTGAGGCAGAGGGGGCCCCCAAAGAAGTTTTTGCCCCGAGCCCCAATTAGGCTAAGTCGGGCCCTGTTACGACTATCTGACCTTTTTTAAATAAAGTGATTTCTCTGAAAACTTCGTTCATTTTTTACTCATTTCAAAATCATTATTCTTGATGTCAAAACTAGAATGATTGTTCATAAATGAATTTTTCAAATTTTGTTTTAATATGTTTCCTTAATTTCTTATTATAATATTTTTTAGCATACCCGCTGTTCTCAGAGATATGCTTTGTAGTGAAAACGTAAGTATTATTAAATATTTCTGAAGTATTTTTTTTCTGCTTTCAAATAATTGGTTCTGTCAGTGTAGATGATTTCTGCTATAAAAATATGTTGATTTTTTTTTGCAAAATTTATTATTAATTTATAGAATTGATAAATCTCATTTCATCACACATGCAATAAATGCTTTTATTGAATCAATAAAAATATCTCCTATTTTTTAAACACAGTAGTTGTCTAAATTATTTAGTGTACTTGATTGTGTATTTATTCAAATATGCTAAAGTTATAATTAATAATGTAGACATTTTTTTAAAACTTTTAGTTTAATATTTCGTTACACCCTGAAGAAACGAACTTAGTGCAAGGTCCCATGATGGTAAGATTTTAATTAAATATTAAAGAAATGTGTAGACAATTCTTTGTTCATACTATGAAAAAATTTAAAGTTTTGTACCAGAATGGAATGGAAGAAAATGCCCTTGAAAAAATAGGTCTTTTCTAACCCAGGTAGAAGAATTAGAAGAAACTCATTTTAAAAAAGAAATATGCAGTATTAAATAAAAATTTTAAACAGTTAATTATCACAATCTTGTTATTTTTTTTAATTAGTGAGAATAAGATTAAGAATTAAGGAATTGTTTAAGAAATTAAGACAACTGTCATTTACAAGACATTGTCAAACATTAGAAAAATCAAGAGAATATCAATAATAATAATTGAATTTCAAAAGATATTGGTATTTCAAAAAAAGATAGAAATTCAGAGCGATAATTGCCAAAACAGTTGTAAAAATCGGCACGAGTTATGAGTGATGATAAAGTGAGTTTCAAATGTGGGATTTTGAATTTTCATGTGCGTGATATATTAAAAACATTGGACTGATTTTATTTTAACCAAATTGAAAAAGAATAATAATCAATGTACTGTATTGATTAATCTGTTTGCTACAAATCTGAATTTAGAACCAAATCTTCAGTCAGTCATATTTTATTAAAATATAAGATATGTTTTTTTTTCCAATGCGAACAAACTGTCTTTTTTTTGTGATTTCGTTTATTATTGTTATTTTTTAATATTTATTTGAAATTCTAGCTGAAGCCTGTCATTATTTAATTTTTTTTAAATTCACAAATGAGAATAGAAAAATCACAAGCTCTTCTATTCCCTTTGATGCTTGAAAAAGGAATCTTTTGAATATAATCCGGCAGAAAAAAAGCAGCCCTTTTAAAAATTTATATAAGAAAGAAAACCGAAATATTATTTCGCAAGGGAAATATTTTTCTGCTAGAACCCTGTAATGTTCTGAAACAATATCGCTGTCTCCTTCTGAATCTATCATAGGGTATCAGACACATACGTACACCAGTGTTTCTGTGCGAGTATGCGCTTGTTTTTTTGTTTAAACTTACTGTTTAGTAAAAAAATACTGATTACTTTGACTAAATCATTTTTCTACTGATGATTAAAATTCTTTGATATATTTGCTTTAGTGTTTTTATTTATTTATTATTATTTTTTTTTTGTAATCTTTCTAATTGCCTCCCTTCAACATTGTCTGAATGAAATTGAACTGTAGTTTTAATTTTGAAATTAAAATGTAGGCATGCTTTTTTTTCTTATTTTTAAAAAAATTTTTTTTCTCTATTCTATAGCAACTGATAGTTTAGATGTGCTCATTAACCTATTTTAATTTTATTAAATTTGGAGAAAGAAAATGTGTTAAGAAAAATAATATGAAGTATCGATAAGATATTAAATTATAAAGATTCTTTTTATTAATTCTTTATTATATTTATTATATTATATTCATATGCTAAAATTTGATAATGGTTATTTTGGCTATTAATAACTTTTTTCTCTTTTTCAAAAGCAAAATAATGCCAGCCTTCCATTGTCAACAATTCCTGCCTCTTCACTTGTGCCACAGTCATCCTTGCCCTCGACGTAAGTTATCCTTAAATTTACTGTGTAAAGGTCACCAAAATTTCCTCTTGTTAAAGATCCAGTTTCGTTTTTTATCGGTATGCAATGTTTATTTTTATTTTAAGGAAAGCATAATTACAAACATACTGAAATTATGTTATAATTATTAATAAAAATTACTATATTAATAGATCTAGAAATAGGTTGTTCTGAAGGAGTTTCCAACCAAAGGCCTTGACCTACCCTGGGGTGTCTTGACAAATACGATTAAGAATGGCCTTGGCTGCCTCAACAGCTGACTAACCCGAGCACATCCTATTCATGGCAACTCACTTCCAATTTCTAATCTTAAGGGTTTTCAAATCAATTTCGATGTTGAGCTGTCTAGTAGGGGGTCTGCCTCTGGGATGTGACCCCTCGGGGTTCTTAAAGGTGACTATTCTCATGGCGCTATTTTCAGGGCTTCTGCATAGGTGGCCCAGCCATCTCAGCCTACTACTGCGGATTATTTGTGAAAATTGGGACTGGTTGTGGAGTCGGTAGAGCTCGATGTTTAATCAGGTTCGTCAGCATCCCCTTTCTTGAATTGGACCAAAAATGGCTCTGAGGATCTTCTAGTGTCCGCTGTATATCTGAATTTAGGGTCCAAGTTTCACTTCCATAAAGTAGCACAGAAAGGATGCGTGTCTTATAGAGTTTTAACTTTGTTTTTTGGCTGAGAAGATTCGATCTTAGCTGTCTCCTCAGTCCAAAGAAATACTTGTTAGCCATTTGGACTCTACTGTTGATTTCTGCTCTAAGAATGTTTTGATCGTTAACAGCAGTGCCAAGGTATTTGAATTCGTTGACCCTTTCAAAGTTATAACCATTAATGCATAAAGAGGCACTGTAATTTTCAGTTGGACGGAAATTCCATGAATTTTGTCGTGTCTTCATAAATAGCAAGGCCCATATTTGTGGCAGCAGCTTTGAGAGCTCGAAAAACCTCTGGCACCCCTTTCTGACCTTCCAATTATATCGATGTCATCAGCTTAGGCCAAAACGTGATCCAGAGAGTGCCTCTTCAGTTCAGTTTACTATCTTGGATACATTCCTCCAAGGCAAGCACCCTGATGCAAGCCTCTTTCAGTTACAAAGGGTTTTTAATTTTAATCCTGCATCTTACATTATTGCGTGTAGCGCTGGTTAACAAGCTATGCAGGTATACGGAACTCATTCATTGCCTCAAGCAGCTTATTGAACGGAGCCGGTATATGCGCGTTCTTGAGGTTTCTGAACTTCTTTCTGATTGCTCTTATAAATTATCAAGTAATTGTTGATCTCTTTTTTTTCATGTTCTTCTAAAACTAATATTTTATTCAAAATTTTATTTTTGCTATAGGGAGGATTTGCCTGGTTTCTTCAATTTTACAGTTACTGTGCCAGTCAATGAAGCTGTTGCATCTAAAAACTCAACATTCGTAGTAAGCTAATTTAAATTTATCATGTTATTATATTGCTGCTTTTTGTTTTAAACTGTTAATGAAATAAGATTGTTGTGTCAATTTTAAATTGTAATAAGTCTTTCCAGTGGTTCACAACTGAACTGGTGCTGAAATTTCTAGACATTTCTTTCCATCTTTTGTGTTTTCTTTCACTTCTTTTTGTTTCTATCTCTCTTTTTTTTTTTAAATCTGAACTTTGTATTTTGAACTGAATAATAGGGAGTTAAAAAAAGTTAAGAACAAAAACTATTTCTTTTTTTTTTACTTGAGATATTCTCTCCTTCCGATTCTGCTATTTTTTATTTTGTCAGCAATTTTCCACATTTAATTTCTAAACTAAGGAATGTTTTTCAATATTCTTATTTGTAGTTTAGAATACATTTTATTTTTCTTCTGACATACTGATAAAGCTCTATTTTATATCAGCATTTTTAATTTAAAACAGCATTTTTCCAGTGCATATCAAAAACCTTCATTTTTGTTGTTAAAAAAAATTAAAAAAAAGAAAAATATCAGTGGGAAAAAAAAATTATCAATGTTTTGAATTTCAAATTTTTTAATTTTTTTTCTAATTTTTTAGTTAGTTAAGTTTATTGATCTTTTTTATTTTTTTTTTGTTCTACTATTCTAATTTATTACCTTTTTTGTAAATATCGATTCCATTTTGAGTATTTCAGAAAGTCAAAATTTTAATGTAGTTCAGAAGTTATAAAACCTATTTTAAATATCAAACTGTTAATGAATTTATTTTTTCTTCAGTTGTACCAAAGGTGCAAATTTCATGCCAATTTGTCTTTGGGAAAATTTGTAAGGTTACAAGCCGAATTTAAGGTCACTAAAAATTTTAAGGCCGATTTTAGTTCAGTGTTTTCACTGAAATATGTATCTTCGTGGTTCACTGCTTGCATTAACACAGCTTAATGCTAAGTGGAAAAATTTTCTTATCGCATATATTATGGACACTTACGATCAATTTTTTAAAAAAAAAAAGTCTTAAAGCATTCAGAATCCTTAAAAACTCATAAGAAAACATTTTATTACTTTCCTAGAGTGCTAATTATTAAGTTATTTTTGAGCAAAATACTCTTACTTTCATTTTCACCTTAACCGGGGAGTTGTGTGATTATTCACGAACTGATGTCGCATGTGTCCATCTGCTGTGTCCAACCACTATTTCATTCCAATAAGTTCTTGCTTTTGTTTGAATTTTTGTAATTAAATCCAATTATTTTAGATGGTCAATAACTATTTGTATAATAAATTGTGTCCTGTTGTAGCTTAATGAAAATGTGGGCACCCACTAAAACATTGTTAAAAGTTGACGAAATTTTCTAGTTTCAAATATTTGAGATTTTTTCGTTCAGTAAAAAATGTGTTTGAATGAGTTATGTATCTCTGATATTACTTATTTATATATTATGTTATAAATACAAAAAATTTGTTCCGTCATTTTTTAAACCATATTAATCTTGATTTTAATGTATGTTTCAAATTCATTTTTGTTAAGTGAAAGAAATGTTGAATAATTTTTTCAGAATTTTTCAGATTTTTAAATGTAGGAAAGTTTAAGTTATTGATATTTTTTATTTATTTATTCTAGTGTGAATTCAAAGCAGTAGCCTTTTAAAATTCATTCTTACAACAAAAAAAAAGTGCTATAAGAAGAAAAAATTAATATATTCCAGTAGATTTTAATAACTTAATTTCAATTGCGTTAATCTATGTTATAAGAGCATTTGAAATCAAGCATATGCATTTATTTAGTTCTACATTACAGAAACTGGAATCAACTTTATAAATTCATTTAAAAATGTTTCGTCCTAACCAAAGTTCCTATTTACTCAAAGCTATTTTTTAATTATTAAATAAAATAAAAAAATGTGCATTGGAATTTTGTACAAGTTTATTTTTTAATTTTTATTCTTTAGCTCTAGTGAAACAAAAACGTCTGGCTTAATATTATCTGCTGAAATTATGTGGATAAGTTAAATGACAATTGGTGAAATTTTAAGTATAAGTAAATTATGGCAATGATGATGGATATATATTTCAATGGACTAGAAACTTGAAAGGATTGATTCGTTATCGACAATATCGAATGCTTAACCCAGTGTTTTCATCATAGAAAAAAATGGGTGAGAATTTCTCACCCTTTCTCAAAAACAGGGTGAGATTTCAAAAAGTTAAGTGAGATTTCAAGAAAGTAACAAAACACAAAAACTCTTGAAAAATTTTTTTTCTTTAATTATAATGCATTTCTAACGTCTTCTATTTTTTAAAGCATTGAATATTTTTGGTGCATCATCATAGAAGATTTTGCCTTTACAAGGTATTTGTCCATCTTACATTAGCATATAAAAAATTTGAACGTCTTACATGAAGAAACCTTACCTATGGTGAACACGTGGTTGCTGAGAAATGTGTTCTGAAAGGGGTTCCGTGGTTGTGTTCTGTTGTTCGAAATGGTTCTGAACAATACTGGTAAATAGGGAAGCTAGATCACGGGGCAGATGTTGAAAATAATGAAAGACCTAGGAAGAAAAGTGAAACAGATTTTATTCTAAATGAAGCTTTTTAAAAAATGCGTGAAATTCGCGAATTTTGAACTTTATTTATAGAATGCATGAATTTCTCGTGGTAATAATTTTTAAATGCGAGAAAAGAAAAAAATATGCGAGATTCTCGTGCTTTAGTGAAAACACTGCTTAACCCGAGATTCAACTATTTCAATTAAAAATGTAAATTTATTAATTTTGTTATTTTATAATTCTTCAATGAAGCTCAACCTGTATTTTATGCTTTTTACTTTTTTGTAACTTCTTTTTTAATTTCAGTATTCCTCCATGCTGAAAAGATTGTATGTGAGACTGGATTCTCCTTGCCCCTTTAATTTTTCTGTCAATCAACACATAGGGGCATTAGTTCAGCCATCTTTTGTCAGAGCCACCTTATTTTATTGTTCTCCAGAAAACATTAACTATGCAGTTAAAAGGTGCTGCAATCATAGGCGACCAGATTCCGAAAAAGGTACTTTTTATAATTATTTTAAGTTTATTTATATATTTTATTGCAGAATATTTTGCATTTTTTTAATTTTTTCAATGAAATTAAATGATGCCTCAGTTGATTTTATTTTTCCTGAAAGTCGGACATATCATCAACTTTGTCATGATTTTTTTTAAAAAAAACTCAATTTATTTTAAATCATCTGTAACTAGTTTCATTCAGTTTCATTTCAAAGAAAGCTCAAAATGATTAGGGGGCCCCTTGTTGCAGAATTGCAGCGACACGTCATCATTCTCTCGCAGAACGTTTATGAGTTCTTGCAGAAATTTTTTTTTTTTTTAAAAAAAAAGAAGAAACGAAATTACTTTTCTTTTCTATAGAAATTTTGACTTAATATTTGAATTATGCATTTAGATAATCATTTAGATTTACGCCAATTGCATCGTAAATAAATGTAATGTTTCAACTGTAATTTCGGAAGTTATTGATATCGATTTTCACATGGATTTTAAATATCCCGATGTGTTTCAAACAATATGGAAAATTTAAATATTTGAATTGAAGGCAATAATTCTATAAAATTTTTGGCAGTTATTTTTATTGATTTCTCCATAGTTTTCAAATCCGATATTTTTTATATGATATTATTTATTACAACAACCTAATCTCGAGAAAAAACACGCAATTGAGGAGTTCGATTGGCATGATTTCATCACCGATCTTTTTTTCGGCAATTGCTGCTAAGTATTTCATGATTTTTAATTATTTTTTTTTACTGTGATGATTATTTACAAAATGGGAAGAAGGAAATAAATTTTGCTCCCACAGTAAAATGAGAGAATATCACCCGTAATATTAGGATAAAAAATTTTTTCATGTTCAAAGAAAAATTTGCATATGTATATCTATTTTTGTAGACACAGCATTTGTGTTATTTTAAATTAGTTACATTTCTTTTTGTTATTATTAAAAATATCTTGCAGAAAGGTATTAGTGCTAGAGAGTTTTGTCGCGGATAGCTCAAAAAAATTCTGCCACATGGGTCGGGTTTTCCGCACATTTTATTTTATATCATAAGACAGCTTTTGAAAATTACAAAAACTACTCAAAAAATTGCTTATATCTTTTTAAATTTTTTAGATATTCTAATCAAAAATGTTTCATTAGTCGCCATATACAATTCACTATAAAACAATATAAAAACTTTTTTTAATTTTTCTGCTTATGCGCAGTATAAAAGAATTACCTTAAATATTTTTTGTATATTGTACCTGTGTTCATGATTTTTTTTTAAAACTTGAAGTCAATAATTTTGTAATTAATTTTAAATTGCTCCAAAAATTTTGTTTAATTCCATTTAATATTTATAAAGTTATAGCAAAAAAGTAAGCCAAAAAAAAAAAAAAAACTTTATAAAATTGTCCATATCAAATTTTCTAAGTTTATGAAATTTAATACAGTTATCAAAAACAACAACTAAAGTATTTGATACAAGTTACAAGCATATTGCTTGATTTTCTGGCATAGTGTTCAAAAATGCTTGTGTGACACCCCTTTTTATGCCAGTTTCATTATTATTATATCTATTAGATCAAGGAGTGTTATAGAATTGGTTTAAAGGTTATGCCTTTTTTCTTTCTTCTTTTTTTGGACTGCTGCTGACAAATGGTGGTGTTAAATTTTAGAAATCTAACTGTTAAAAATGCAATATTAAATTTACCTAAAACTTGGAGACCTTCCAAGTTTGAGATTTTCTAAACTTCGAAGAAAATATTTGTACACAATATTATAAATTGCAATGAAATTTTCCAGAGAAGGAATTATTTAGGAAAGTGCTATGTTAACTGTCTATTTTTTCTTAATTTTTCAGTGTTATTTTGTTGTTTCATTCTATTATTATTTTCTTCTCTTTAATCTTGATTTTATATAATATTTTTTTGGACTGTCAATTTACATATATTGTGAAGAAAAAAAATGTACTTAATAAACATTTAAATAACTTAAATGATTTCTTTTCTGTGTTATTTTGTTGTTTCATTCTGTTATTTTTTCTTCTCTTTAATCATGATTTTATATAATAGTTTCTTGAACTGTCAATTTACATATATTGTAAAAAAAAAATGTACTAAATAAGCATATAAATAACTTAAATGATTTCTTTTCGTGTAATATATTTTCACATGCTGCTTATTTTTACTTTTTCATGATTTGAGTTGATAGGTATTTTCAGACTTATTTTTCTTTTCCTACTCTAATGCCAGACTTTGCATGTGACATATATATGTTCCATATGTAACTATAATGTATTCTCGGGATTCAAAATTATCAAGTTATTTTATGAATAAATTTAGAGGCACACCATTGCATTATCGCTATTTTTCTTTATTTTCACATTAAATAATTGTTATGCGACCATTAACGAGCACCCTAATTGGTTGACATTCCTTATTTTAGAATATGGTTTAGAAAACAAGTTTAGAGTTATTTTTTTTAAAGATTTATGTCTTGTATTTATTGATTTGGTTCTAATATAAAATTGTTATTTTAATTATGATAACTGTTGTTTTTAGGAGACTTGCTATGTGAGCATATTCTGAGGTCTGAAGGTCAGGGGGCAAAATATTTTAAGGATTCGGTGACAGGACGATGTAGCGTGTTGGTGCCTTTGGAAAAGCCTCCAAGTAAATCTCTCTCTTTATATATATATTAATCACACATTTATAGATGTATATACTAGAGAATGTATATACTATATATATATACTAGTGGGCTGCTCAATCTTATATGGTTTGCTTCGCTTGCTACTAACTTAGGTACATTGCAAATGCCCAAATTGCATTGCTATTAGAAATGTGCTATAGTATAAAATCTTAAGATAAAATTTCTAAAACTGATATCTCTTTAAAAGGGTTAAAATTTTGGCTATAATTAAGTCTATTAAAAATTGAAATAAGCGAATTGCAATGGAAAAACCTGCATAAACAAAACATTATGTTTTTAAAAAATAATAACCATGAATGATTCACAACTTTGTTAAAAACTTAAGTATAAGTCTTAGAATAAATTCGTGATATAAATCAAAAACCGTCAAATAAATTTGTAATATATAAACTCGTGGAGAAAAAAAAAAGCGCTTTCGGCAAAATATTAAAATCGAGATCTATTGACAAAGACTACTCACTTCTGCCTAGCTTAATAGTATGAGATTGATTATTTGAGTTCCCTCTGGTTATTTCAGTTTCCATTTTTAAAAGCGCTATATGTTGAGCCACATCAGCTAGATTTGGCATGTTACATTTTTAGCGGCAATCATTGGTCGATTTTCTAGGGTTGCCATTTAGGGAGTTGTAATGAGACTTTTTTTGTCGCCGTGTAAGAGAAATATATATAGATAGAGACACACACACACACACATTGATTTTAATTATTTGTATCAGCTTTAGAATTGCCTTTTTTAATTAAATTAATTTTTTGCAATACCTAAATGCAGGGTTAAAAGAAAACTTTTTTTTTCAAAAACTATTTTTCCTGTTTTTTGGTTTAAACTAGACTTTTTTCTGTTTCATTTGGAAAAAAAAAGGTTAAATAATAATTTACATTCTAAATTAAAAGTATTTTAAGTTATTATGAGGTATAATCATGAAAAATGTTTCATTTTTAATTAATCATATAAGTATCAATAACTATTTAAAAAATATCCACTTTTCTATAAACATGCTAACTTAATAGAAAGATGAAAGATTTTGAATATTCTTATACATTACTTTACATTTTAACTTAACATGCAAATAAAATTTAATTATAAAATGGTATATTAGTAATGTGTGAAGGAATCTCGTACTTAAGCATTATTTAATGTCACTAATTTGTTTGTATACAATGTACAACATTAATATTAAATATACTTAATAAAATGTTCCTTTTTTTTTCTTTCCCCCAATTGAATTAATAAAATTTTTAAGAGCGTAAAAAATGTCAGGTATTTTTCAGTTCAAACATATTTGAAAGTAATGGAAAAATTAAAAAGGCTAGAAACATCAAATATGTCACATACATATGTGTATATAAAATAGTAAAGGTATGCGTTACTACCTATTAATGATTTAATGATAAATAATGAATAAAATACTTATCGACATTTTTTTGACAGAATGAAGCTAAAAATCAATATGCTTATAATGCAGTATTAAATAAAATAATATACATTGATTAAATTTTAAATGAAATTTGAATATTTTTCAATATTTTTGATATATTATTTTTTATATAAGCATTGTATTTTGAAAATGTTAGAATCTTTGTAAACACTCTTCATACATAGCATTATTCTATATTTGCATTTTTTTATTAATGAAAAAAAAATTATTTATGAATTTTAAAAATTGAGTATGGAAATGATGATGGTCTGTAGTATTTGAAGAATTTTTAGAAACATAATGACTTTAAATCTACTCATCATTAATTATTTTATAATTATATTTTACTAGAAGAGCAATTGTACATTAACACTGAAAAATTACATATTACATTTGTTCATTTAAAGTAACATGAGCTGTTAAGCTCAAAATTCTAATATAAAAATTTAAAATTTTTCTTTCAGAGATATTTAGTTATTTAAAATATATTTTATTCTTTTACAAGAAACCCTTTTTTATATTTTTTTTATAAATAAACTTACTTGATTTAAACCATCGTTTGTTCAAACCTGTCATAAATAATATCTAACCAAGGAAGGTATTGAAGTTAATGATTTTTTTAAAAAAAAAATTAGTTTTTGTAGTTAGTCTTAGTTAGTTAATACAATTCTAATAATGAGTATTAGTGTTTTGTTATATGTTTTATGTAAAAGTAAAATTTATAACTGAGCAATTAGTTATAAAAATTTTGTTACCAATTACAAAAATCATGGAAATTTGATAAAATTAGTTCGTAGAAGTCAGAGATGTAAGTTTTTGTAGCCACCTTTTTGCTGAGGATTTTACCATTGTGTCCAATACATAGCCAACCCCGTTTTTAATCAGTTAAAATAAATATTACATATTAACAACTTTATTTTCTGTGGATTTAAAATTGTTCTTTGTGAGACCACAATAATGCAAGATAAAAATGACTAACAGTTACTAGTTCAAGTTATAAATTTAATTTGATAAAAATATTTTTTGGTATTGCGTTTAATAATTTCTTTCTTCATATTATAGTGGGTCAAGATTTCAGCACTTATTTATATAAATTCCTTTGCTATACCTCATGTACAGGCGGTCCTAATCGACGCCCGATGTCTGTTGTTTTTACGTTAGAGAACATGTAAGTTGTTCATATTTTTAAATTTCTGTCTTCATAAAACCTTCCTCTGGAAATAGAATGTATTATTTAAATCTCCCCATAAATTTCCTGAAATATTTTGAGAAATTTTATCAGGGGTCTGTCTAGGTTTTTCTGTGAGGTACCCATTTTGTAAAAATTTAGACATAATTTGTGAAAGTTAAAAATTATTTTAAAAAAAAATCAACACAAATATATGGTAAAAATATGGATTTATCATTTCTTACGGGATACAAAAATAAAATTTCAAGAAAAAGCATTTTGTAAAACTACAGTTTTTCCTAAAGTTAAATTTGTGAAGGTACCGCTAAACTGTATAGATGTGACCTGGACAGACCCCTGTTTATTAAACTATTTAATGGTTTTCTTCCATTATCAGAGATGACAACTGCTCCTGATTAAACAAATCATTTTTAAAAAAAACTGTAAAGAACTACAAATCAAAATTTGCAGATTTTCAGTTCATTTTCCCAACTTTTTAAAAGGATTAACATGGTTTAACTGTAATAAAATGGCATAAGCCTTTGAATTATTTTGAAGTAGTGGTAAATAAACTCCCATCTAAATCAAATTTACTAAACCGAGAATTACCACCTGGGTAATATTTGTTCACTGTCCCAAGAAAGTTAGCATCTTTGCACTATTCAATGACATTTTATTTATCAAGATTTATTCCTTCTTTACGTAAATATTGATTTCACATTTTGTAGAGCATCTTAGTAATTAATAATCTTTTTCTTTTTAGTTTCTACATCAATCTTTTGTTTCTCTTCTTGAGAACATAATGCAGTTTTCAATTAGCCTACTAGAGCTTATCTTTTTTGTCATTCTATGGACTCTGAAAAAATAAGCAATCTAAGGGCAGGATATCCGCGCAACAGGAAAGTCATGAAAAATCATGGACAGTCATGAATTTTAGTATTGAAAAAAATTAGTCATGAAATGTCATGGTTTTAACTATATTTTAAGAAAAAATCATGGAAAGTCATGAATTTAGGTCGCCGAAAAATCTTATTTCTAAAACGGAATTTCCCCCCTCCTGTTTTATGGTGTTCCGAATATCTGAATAAGTAACAAAATCTCCACTCACTGTCTTATTTTATTAAAATATAAAATGTTTTTATCTGTTCTTTAGAAATTATGGTGTTCTTTCAAAAAATGAAAGAAAAAACATACTTTCTAGAGCAAATGATCATTTAAATTTCTGTGATTTCAGAATTTTTGTTTTTTTTATTTTATCAATTTGAAATTCTAGCTGAAGCAAGCCAGACATTGGCCAATTTTTTTTTTGAATTGCAAACAGAAAAATCGGGAGTATTTCTTTCTTTTCTGATGAACAAGAAAAATATCTTTAGAATGTAATTCTGCAGAAAAAAAGAAAGAAAAAATTATTTGCTCAGCTATTATTTTTTCAGATATTTTATATCTTCATCTCTTTCTTTACTTTGTTTTTTAAGTTTAAAATCAATAAATATGAAACTGCAGAGAATAACAGTTTTGGTTATACCTATCACTTCAATGAATGTTATTATAATGCTTTTTAAATTTATTATTCTGTTTTTGTCGGAGAAAATAGTAGCTTTGTTAGGTCATGAAAAGTTCTAGGAATGAGGCATGGAAAGTCATGAATTTGAGAATCTAAAATGTAGCAGATACTATGTAAGGCAGGGATGGCGAACCAATGGCACGCCACATAATATTTTGGGCACGCCACCGATTACGAAGTTCACTGTGAAGCAATTTACCAATTAAATTAAAATTCACAAAAGCAAACATAAAAAAAATAAGCAATTATTGACAAAAAAATTACAATTAATGCCAAAAAGCAATTAATTACCATAAAAAACAAGCTAACAATAAATAACTAGCAAAAAAAATTAACAGACCTGCTTAAAATAACTTACATCCTATTTTAAGTTATTTGTCATCTTATCTGTAACAACAGAAGTCACACTGATGTTACTTTAAGTAGAAGAAGTTGAATTACGCGTATAACTCAGACATTGCAAAATTTATTCTTTTTCATAGTAAATAAAGAGTTTTGGGTTGATAGTATTTAGTGTTATTATTTTCCCAATAATCACGAAGTCAAAATTGTTTGACGGCACGTCTATGACCAAATTAAACAACTTTTTAGAAAAAATGGCACGTTGGTGCATAAAGGTTCGCCACCCCTGATGTAAGGGATGAGGCATGGAAAGTCATGAATTTGAAAATCTAAAATGTAGCAGATACTATGTAAGGGATGAGGCATGGAAAGTCAGGAATGAGGCATGGAAAGTCATGAATTTGAGAATCTAAAATGTAGCAGATACTATGTAAGGGATTTTCAGATAGTAAGATTTTTTTCCCCAACTAAATTTAGTGGGGACTAATGCCCTTTTTTATTAAAGACCCGTTATTATCTTCATGCATCGCATTTTTATATTTAAATATGCTTAAAATTTTTTTTAATTATAAATATATTAGAAAATAACAATTCAATTGAAATAGAAAAAATTCAAGCAATACAGGATTTCATCAGGGGGCACCTTGCATGCATTCATGTGGGAGTTTACCTGTGAATAACTGTAATGAAACAAAGGTGTTATTTGTTTCCTGAAGCCCCATTAGGAAAAAATACATAAAATCTACTTTACATTAAAGATGTATTAAAAATGGAATAGTAATTTGTAGAAAATCAGCTGCTAAAAAGTCTAGCCTTGCCATTATTATTTGCAGTTTTAAAAATTATGACTAATATCACTTGGTGACTGTAGTCCTGTGACTGGTTATAACATTGAGTGAGTGCACTTGGAGGTGAAAACTTCCTTCCCATTGAACTAATTAGGGATTCATAGCTGTCAATTCTACTGGATTTTCCAGTTTCTCCTGGTTTACTGATTTTATTAAAATTCTCCTTTATACATACATTTTAGAAAATTTCTTAAAATTGAGTAAGTTACCTTAAAAAATCCCTATTGAAATAAATTTTATTGTGCAGATTATTGCTTGCTTGAATATTTAAATATGTGTCACTAATACATAATGAAGCACGCCTCATTAATAAAATTCAGTTAACTATCCTTGAGGAATTAAATGCCTATAACAATTCTAAATTATGAATAAACTTAATACATAACATTTCAAATTTATTTAATGTGAAATAATAACTGGAAAACATTGCAGTTTTTCGATTTTGATGACAATAAGAATCCCTAAAATTCCCTGTGTGTAAAATATTTTGCAATAATTATCATGAAATTTATATTATTTCGTAAAATCTACTGGATTATTTGCGATCCGTGTTGGCATCTATGGGGATTGAAAAATGACCTCATTCTTACGTCATATGTCTACACCTAGGCAAAACCTATAATTTTACATTTTTACTGATAGACTGAGCATTCCCCCCTTTCTATTTGATATTTTTTACTTAGTACAGTAGAGAACCATTTATCTGGTATCCAGAAAACTGGGAAGAATTTTGCTTAGTTTTCCCGCTATTTTGAAGTATAGTGATTATAAAAAAAAAGCTGAAATTTGTCTCATCCTTGAAGTTGAGTAGAGGAAAAAGGGGGGAATTCTTCTCCTTTAGTCAGAGAAACTTCAATTCTTCCCCTGACCTTGAAGATCATTAGATCCAGAGGCGCCAGGGAAGGGACAAATGTTTTGTTTTCTCCTGTGTGTTGGTTGTTTTTCTGATAAGCTATCAAACTAAGCTTCAATCAAACTAAAAGGAGTGGCATGCTGATTTCATTTTCTCTTTGATATATAAGGGTGTAAGGAAAATGTATTACACACACATAGCTGCCAACCTTTCCACATTTTTACTTATTTTAGCTATTTTTTACGCTCAGAAGATAAGCAGGGGTCTGTCTAGGTTTTTCTGAAAGGTACCTATTTTGTGAAAATTTAGACATAATTTGTGAAAAATAAAAAATTGTATTTAAAAATCGCAGAAAAATGTTGTAAAAATATGGATTTATCGTTTCTTAAAGGATACAAAAATAAAATTTTAAGATAAAGTATTTTGTGAAACTACCGTTTTTCCTAAAGTTGAATTTGTGAAGGTACCGCTAAACGGTAGTAAATTCTGCCTGGACAGACCCCTGATAAGATTTTCTGCATTTTACCCGTCCCCCCGATGGGTAGGATTTTAAGTCAGACTATGTTGACTATACCCCACAGCAATGCTGAATGCGAAAGGGTGTCTTCTGTAGTAAAAAAAATAGGACTCAATTCCGCTCATCGATGTCTGATGAGACTCACGAAAAACTTTTAATAATTAAGTCTAAAGAAGGTAGACTTTGTTTTGAAAGAGATTTTTCGAAAGATGTTTAGTAAAAGCAAAAAATGCTACTAAAGAATCTTTGCAAAAAAAAAAATTTTTTTTGATGTAATTCTTTTTCCGTAATTTCTATTGAGTTTATATATATAGCGCATACTATTATAGTGTAATTAAACTAATGTTAAAATAAATATCAAAATATTATATATTTTCCTTTAATCAAGAATTAATAAATGAATATTGTCCCCTAAAGTAGCTGGTCAAAAGTTTTTTAAATTTTTTTTCCTTTTCTTGTTTTAAGAAAAAGGGGTCTATTTTTTTTAAATAAATTTATTAGGAATTAGTATGCATTTGCGAATCTTCTGCATTTTTATAACTAGAGATTGGCAGCTATGCACACACGTATCAATGAATGTCCAAGTTAAGAAACTTGAAACTTCTGGCTAAGAGTTGATATGGGAGATTTATTTTAAATCCTTTTTAGTTACTCAGTTTTTGTTATCCTTGATTAATAATGATTAATTATTTTATTATTTCAGATAATGCATTTTTTATTGCAAACGAAATGTTTTTTAATCACCAGTTATATTCATCTATTTGACATCGATTAACAAAACAATATATTTTTATTTTTTGAATAAATTCTGATTTTTTAGTAGTGCGGTATCATTAGCAATTTTTTTTTTATGTGAAATAACATCTGCTTTTGTTAAAAATAGTATTTTTCTGAAAAATAAAATAAAAGATTGTTTATTAATTTAAGCATATAATTATTTGTTAATAAAAGCAGACGATTATTTTATGAAGCAGATAGCAGTTTTCTTTTTTTTAATTTTGATTCTGTTTTCTTGATTTCACTGCATTTGTTTTTTTTTCTTTCTTTTTACGATAAATTTCGCACTCCATAAATTAATTCTTTTTATTCATAAATTTTAACATTAAGTTTTTTTTTTATTTAATTCCGTTGATCTTACAACATCCTGCTTTGTTCCAGGTTTTAATATTTATGTTAGTGCCTTTTTTAAATATCGTTTCCGTTTGATAATATTCAAGTGTTGTTTTTATTTAGATTAATAATGATCTAAATATAACCCCCCCCCCGTATATTTTGGTATGAAATATATTGGGTTTCTTAATTATTAGTTTTGTTTTATATTAGTTAATTTGGGGATTTTAAATATTATCGAAGAATAACTATAAAAATTTTGTATTTTTTAAACTTGTTTTTCTTGTGTAAACTTGCAAATGTTTTTATCATTTTAAATGTTATTTTTCTACCATTATTTTTAAAAATCCAGGAGATCTTTTTGTTTTTTTCTTCTTATTTTAAGATGTGTTTTACCTTTTCCTTCTAATTTGGTAAAACATTGATTAACGGCACTTTTTTCTGATCCAGAGAACCGGGATATTCAGACATCCGGGATGGTCCCGAGCATTCCAGTTAATTGGTTCTCTACTGTAATTTGCTTATGAAAGTGTTTTAAACATTCAAATAAGACTAACTTTAAGTTGAAATATAAATAGATTTTCAAGATAATTCAAGATGTCAATAATTAAAGATAATTCAAGAGGTCAATAATTAAAGATAATTCAAAAGTTTCATTAATTTTATAAGTATAATTCATGCATAGAATTTCTGCCATTCGAAGATATTTGTTCGTAGACATGGTGTAGCATAGTGTATGAATCTAGGTCCAAAAATTTTTTATTTTAAAAGCTTTGTTTTTAATTGTAATCCTACTATTCTGGGCAAATTTTCTTGATTGTTTTTTCTTTGTTTTCATTTAAACTACTATTAATTAAAATATGTGTTACTAATCATTTGGCAATGTTATGTCTTATAATAATTATTTGTTAAATATCTGTTGTATGATTTTGATTTTAAAAAACCGATTTTCTTAACTTTATGTAAATTTATAAAATTCTGTATTAAAAGGTGTGAGATTATGGGACGTCGAAAGATAGATGTAAGAGTGTGTTCTTGTCCTTTGAGAGATAAGACTTTAGATGAAAACAGATTTGCAAATGAAAATACAACAGACAATGCAATATCTCCAATGATCAGAGATATGCCAATTTCATGTAAGAGTTATTTGTTTCTACATTTGTTTCTTTACTTGTATCTAGTACTTGAAGGACTTGGGACAGTATAATGATAAGCCACATTTTAATATTGATCAAGTAACCCTTTTTTGATTTAAAAAAAGAAACACTAACATTTTAAAATAGGCAATAGTTATTAATGATTTTGCTGTTATGTTATAGCAATTTATAAATTTCTTGAAATATGCCATTTTTAAGAAAAATGTGTCTTATCATTATATTGCCTCAATTTTTTTTTATTTTTCAATAGTTTAAAAGTATGTTTTTCTTTTTCTAAAAATCAGCGGATTCCTCATTGTCGGACATCACTAATGACTGCAAACGGGCTACCAAATCTGCAAAGAGAAAGAAAGAGGAAGATAGTAGCTCTGGAGAGGAAAAGGAATTCATAATAAAAGTATATTTATTTTTAGTATATTTTATTTAACTAGTTACTTTTGTAATTTCAAGGTTGCCTCTCCGCAAAGAGAATAGGGAAAACCTGGAAAATAGAGAGAATTTAAACATTGCCTAAAATAACAGGGAAAATGCTAGGAATTTTGGATATTTCCTTTCAAACTGGGAAAAAACAGGGAATTTAATCTCTTATTTTTGTCTTTAAAAAAATGCAAACCTCTAAAAGCGCAATCTTAATTAAAGATTAATTATATAGCATTATTTGTTTAATGTTGAGCTGTTTTTCCAGCTACTAAAACTACCATCTCTATCCTAATATAGTTCACACGAGCACAGTTAATGTGTGTTTCCTCTTAATGTATTGTGTATAATATGTGTAGACAAAACAAAGGGAATTTTTTTACAGATATCAGTGGATGTATTACCAATGGATATTAGAAAATAAATCTGAAAATAAATAAATAAATAAATCTGTACCAATGGATATTAGAAAATGAATTAAGGTAGTACATTGAAAAATAAAATATCTAAGATTAGAATATAAAAGCTGGTTTATTAAGTTCTTTTGAGTTACTGGTTGTTGAACCAGATATTGCTATACCATACTCCTTTCTATACTATATATTGCTATACCATACTCATATTTGATGGTCGAGTCCAGTCCTATTAGAAGTATTGGATTTGAAAATATGGAAATTAGCATTAAACCCTTAACGATCGGTTAATTTTCAAGAAAATGGTCATAAAGGTGCCTATTTTTTTATATACTATATTATACATGTATTTAATTAGTATTAGTTTAAAATAAAGTTTTCAGTTTAAAGTAAACTAATTTAAAACATCTAGTTTAAAATAAACTAATTATCTACAATTACCTTAAAAATATCCTGGTACAGTAGGGAATCAATTATCCGGAATGATCGGGACCATTGCTATTCCACATAACTGATTTTTCCGGTTTTCTGAATCGCTACAAAAAGCCGTTTCTTTTTTTTTTAATTGTTAAACCCAACTAAAAAAAAAAATTTTGGAAATAATCTTAAAAAGAAGAAAAAACAATGAAGTAATACACTAATGATTATTTCCAAAATGATGGTAAGGTGAACATCTTTCAAAAAAAAAATTTTAAAATCTTATGAGGGGAAAAAAAAATGGCGGGAAAATTTAGCGAATTTCGTTCCGGTTTTTTGGTTTTCTGATTTCCGGATAATGGGTTCTGTACTCTACTACCATCTGGTGTGTAAAATGAGAAATAAAATACTTAGTTTTATTCTAAATGGCGCTTTACTACTGAACACTCCAGCCGGAAATAATACGGGAGCGAGAAATAGAGGGCGGAACCTCACCCCATCATTTTCACGGGAGCAAGAAAGAAGGGGTTGAAAATAAAATGTTTAACTGTGAAAGTAATGTGCCTACTGCAAAATATTTACAGTTCGTTTATTTGTTTAAAATATTTAGAAAGTTTGATCTGTAAGTTCGTGTGAATACAAGTCGTTGTTGCTAAGGTTTCAAGAACTTGGCACTGGTGTTTCTGTTTGTAGTTGGTCTTTCACTATTTTCACCAACTGATGAAATAACATCGGGGAGGGGTAGCATTATCTTCTCAAAAAGAAAAACCTAAATTTTTTTTTGAATGTCAGTATGATTCTGATGGGATAGGAGAATCTGCCAGTTTCTAAAACTTTCTAACTAAGCATATTTTACACTATTAGAATAACTTTTGTGACGGAACAGTTCAAATAAAACTAAACCAAATTTAAACAGAATAGGTTGAGTAGTTCTTGAAATGAAATTTTAGATATAAGACTTTTTTACAATTCGATAACTCAGAAACTTCTACTGATTATGCTCACATTTTATATTTTTCTATTTAAAAGTAATTAAAAATCATGTAAAAATTTCTATAGCTTACTATTCAAATTAAGTAATATAATAATAAATAATTAATCTGTGGATTTTACTATTGTTTGCAATTTTTTTTTCTTCGATTTACTTGAACACTTCTCAAAATAAAGCGACGTACACCACAAACTTTAAAATAACAATAATATGTATAAACTTACCAATGCTTTACTTCCTAAATTATTAGGACCATATTATTTAGGTTACAGCTATCCCCACAATTTGAAAGTCACTAAATCAGGTCTACGGGGAAAAAAAGCATATTTATTTAGAAGAAGTACTTGTTTGTATTATTTGGTAACTTATAATATCTGCGCTATTTAATTAGCATGTTGAATGTTATGCTAATGAACCATTTAGATTGAGTCCTTGTTCGTAAAAATCTTATCATTAGATAAAAGTTTTTCAAGGTGTTCATGTTGAATTTTTTATTTTGTGCATTGTATTCCATATACATATGTGCATTCCAAAAATAGCTAAACTAGGAAAGTCATGATAAAATAATTTTTCATGGATAAAGTAATTTTTCAGCTGTAATTAAAAAAGTTTGAAGCAGTAATCTGCTAGTATTTTTATGTACCATTTGCTGTAATGCATAAAAATGCTAGATTTGCTACAGTAAAAAAAAGTACTATGTAATATTTGCAAGTTGTTGAAAGAAAAAAAAGGAAAAAAATTATGCTTTTAAAAAATAGAAGAGTTATGATCATTTAAAGTGAAACACAATCGAAATAAGCACTGCCCTATTTGCAGTGTTAAAGTATTTCTGATAAAATATTGTTGTGTCTAGAAAATATGTGATCTGGAATTAAACTGATCTTTTCCTGTTAAGTAAGGGACATTTATTCTGAAATATATATATATAATTGCTTCTCAAATCTGCAGGTAGGTTGCAATCCCTGTAGCAGAATTTTTTCGAGCTATCTGCGACTAATCTCTCCAGCACAAATATCTTTCTGCAAGATACTTTTAATTAAAACAAACATGTATGTTACTTGTTACTAATTGAAAATAACAAATACTCTGTGTTTACAAAAAAGACTATACAGCTTTTTTAAATTGAATAAATAATAATTTTTTATTTTTATATTAAGGATGATATTCTCGCATTTTGTTGGGTAAAAAACGCACAAATTATCTGTGCGCTTTTCCAAATGATTAAATTTTGTAAATAATCATCACAATAAAAAAAGTAATTAACAATCATGAAATCCACATGGTCCCCATAGCTGAAAAAAGATCGACAACGAAATCACGCGAATCGGACTCCTTAAACGTGTGTTTCGTTTCGAGATTAGGTTTTTGTAACAAATAATATTGCATAAAAAAAATTGGATTTAAAAACTATGGAGAAATCGGTAACAAGAACAGTCAAAAATTCGATAGAATTATAGCCTTAAAAAGTACTCAAATGCACGATTCGAATTTTCCATATTTGAAATATATCGGGATATTTAAAATGAGCGTGAAAATCAATAACAGTAACTGCCGGAAATACAATTGAAAAATTACATCGATTGCCGATACTATCGGCATAATTTGAGCGTGTCAAAAAGTGATTATCTAAATGCATGATTCAAATATGTGTAAATTTTTATAGAAAAGAAAGCAGATTTTTTTTTACTTTTCCAAAGAAAGATTTTTCTGCAGGAACTCTCTGTAACGTTCTGCGACAATGTCTCCGTGTCGCTGCTATTCTGCCACGGGGGGTTGCAATTAGCTCTTGAGCTAACATACAATTTAAGCTCTGCATTGAGTTATCCATAATTTTTATTTAAATTTTCAATTTATTTGTTCATCATCCATATGAATTTAACTGTTAACCATTTTCTCCTTTTAAGGTACGAAGTGAGGAGTGTTATAGGTTCCTCAAGGGACTTAAGACGTGGTTCGACATTATGCAAAATTGTAAGACGATGAAAAATAATAATTGGGTTCCTACTGTAATTGATGCTAGAAATCTGCTGAATGCGTAAGTAAAATTTTATTCCCTTCGTTAACTGAAGTACACTCATAACTAAGGACACCTCCATCTTTTGTTATTTTATGTAACACAAGTCGGAGGGTGGCCATATGTGTCCTTGTGTTTTTAGCAGTTGATGGGAATACCAGACACAGAAATATTCTCTTCAATAAGTATTGTTCTCATAAATATACATTTGTTTTGGGTTCATTAAATAGGCAAGTTCTTTCAAAATTTAAAGGCACTTTTTTGTCTGCTCACACAATGTTAAAAATGAAAGTTTATGCAACTTCTTTTCAATCTGACAGATAATCGGGCTGAAGAAATCAGTTTTTTTTTTTTTAGAGCCGTGGTTGCTGAAGAGATAGAGCGTCCGCCTTCCAATTGGGTGAACACGGTTCGAATCACAGTAATGGCTGGTCGATAAGAATCATGCTCCCAGCTCGTACCGTCCACAGTGCTGACGTAAAATATCCTCAGTGTTAGATGAATCATGGGTTAGGGTACCCTTGCTGTGAGTCTAACCATGAAAGGTCTTCATAGTTTTCCTCTCCTTATAACGCAAATGCGGGTTAGTTCCATTAAAAAGACCTCCACGAAGGTAAATTTCCTCCAATACTTAATCCAGGAGTAGTTCCCTTGTCTTCTAGATTGGGTTCAAAATTACAAGTCTACGAGGCTGAACATGAGTAGCTATAAACCTTAAATTGGGGCTGTTGTTCAACGATGGTTGTTAAAAAAAAAAAAAATGTTTGAAAATTTTTTTAACATACTATTACTGCTAAAATGTTATGTGAAAAAAATTTTTTTTATTAATATATTTGAAAAAATTACATTTAGAGAAGAAAGATTTTTTCAAAGATGAGATAAATATTGAGCAGATAATAAATTCTCTACCTTTTAATCCATCTTATTAATAATCACATTTGCATTTCATCCATATATAGACCGAAAAAAGTTATATTTGAAGGATTAAGACTTTTAATTACATCTAATCAAATCACATTTAGGAAAATGTGTAGTTTGATCTAAAATAATTACTTTCTCTTTCTGATATTAATCTGAAGGGTATTTTTTGTTCAATGTAAGGTTTAATGTTGCCGAGACCGTAAGTAATCTGGTAATGCTCCCATTTTTTTTCTGCTGTTGCACCACAGCTTTATTTTTGTGCCTCGTCAACGATTATTAGCATAGCAAAATATCTCATAAGCAGAATCCATTAGACATTGAATTTTTCTCTTTTTTAGTTTTGCGTTAGTTGCTTCATTAAGTTAAAATTATATTGTTTAAAATAAAATTATACTGTAATTACCAATTATATTGTTTCAGAAAATTATTTAAATAAAAACTTTAAAATTTATAACAGACAAAATTTTATTGATATGAATGATAAACTAGTGTATGTAATGAATCCCTTATATATTAACACCTTTCACTATTTTCACAATTGTAACTCATGATAAAAATTTTGTGTCAAACATGAATATCACTGGTCTGGTTCGTAATCGACATTTCTGGCCAATCACGAGCCATAAGCGATATCTTTATCTCGGGCTTAACAAGAATGTCTAAATAGGTCCCTTATCTCTGCTTTATATGAAAAGGTATTTTAAATCTCGCCTCCTACTCATTTTAAATCTTGTCTCCTACTCTCTAATCCTCTATCTGACTCTCTTGTCTTAGGGGCTTGTTCTGAATTTCAGCATGGTGCAAGGGGTTAAGCTAATTTCTAATTATGATTGATGCTTACTGTCTAGCATGAGAGCAGTGTATGTTTTGCAAAGTGCCTTATAATTATGAGAAACACTTAACCAATCAAATTTTAATGTGCTAAAGTTCAATCATAATGGTGTGTGGAACTAACCTTTAGTATACTAATTAGTTTAGACTTATTACAGACATTTCATGTATAATAGCAGACTCAAGCACATACTTTTTTATTCGAAGGATTTAGACTCAATCTTCAAATTGGGATGGAGCCGCCCAATTATTTAGGTAATAAATATTTAGGGGGAAAAAATTCCAATTTTGGTGAGGTTTTAACCTATGAGCTTAAGTTTCTAAAACTAGTTTTTTCTAAAGTTATTAAGGTGCTATGTTTCCTTCTTTATTAATTTATTCATTTTAATTTTGTGCAATGTATTATATGTTAAATGTTTAATGTTCATTAAAGGTTTCATGGTAACAATTTTTATTTTTCTGTAGACTAACTAGCAACAGTGAGAGCGATGAGAAATAAAGCAAGTAGTTTTTCTTGGAAAAACGAAATCGCTATGAGGACATTCATGTGTATTTTTCTTTCCTGGACAATACTTACAAGAAGTTTTCTTATATTCATTCATTGCAAATTTATTTTTTTCTCATATCTTAGTTCATATATGTCATAGAAGTTCACATATCAGTGTATCTTAACACTGCAACTTAAAAATTATATCTTTAATGTACTCTTTAATGTTTTAATCTCTTTAGTGTTGAACTCTTATATTCTTTAATGTTTGCAAGTATAATTCAACGCATGTTTATAAACATTTGTATTGAAGTTATACTATTATACTAAGTTTCCTTACTTCCATTTTTCATCATATGTAATGTTTAAAGAAATATATAAATGATTATTCAAAATGTGCTACAGTTTTTTAAGAATTATAAAATATTCAGGAACGGGAGATGTGGGGTGTTGGGGGTGGGGCTGAAAAGAACAGAATTTAATTCAAAAAGAAAGGTTGAATTAAGTGTTCAGAGGAGTTATTAGATAAAAATATCTAAATTTAAACTAAACTAAAGTAGTTTAATTGTTTGTGATTTTTGGTAAATTTAATTAGGATTTGGTACAGTGGGTGCAAAGTTTGTGCCTGAATAATTCATTCAATCCATTGTAATATTTTGTTTAATTGATCTAATGATTAAGATTAATAAGAATAACTACTCATAAATTACGATGTTAATTACAAGAATCAACTACACATAAATGAAATGATGCATTCAATTCATGATATTGATTCAAGAGAATAGATAAAAGAAAATATTACTATTACTCACCTTATAAATCCGTGAATTAGGAGTTTACTGTATATAATGACAAATCAAGTCATAAAGTTAAAAAAAAAAAAATGATGCATGGTCACATTAATATATTAATCTAAACTGATAAAAATAACTAGGACAAAATTAAGGAATTTTGAGCATAACGCAAAAGTTAAAAAATAATTTGGTCAGAATAGGCCAACATGAAAAAGCATACTAAAATTAAATAATAATAATTTAAAAAAAGTAGATTATTTATTCAGTAAATAAAATTTGATCAAAATTCAGAAGATTAGGTAATCGAAAAAATATTCAATTAGTCTGAAATAAATTTCTCAATTCATATAAAAGTAGTAACAAAAATAAATAATCAAAGGGCTGCTGTGTTTAATCGAATTCAGAATTATGAATAATTCGTGTTTTGTTTAGAATCAGCAAAATTTTATAATTGGAACTTGCTTAATATTTACTACCCAATAAGAATCAATGTCTTAAATACACATAACACTAAATGCATTACAAATGCTTAAATGAAAATAAGTTAACAATTAAAGAAATATGTAATATTAATTTACTCTGTCACATGTAATTTAACATTGTGTTCAGTATCATAGTGGTGGTCAGTATTAAGTGGATGGTTTAAGGGTTAAAACCAAACTCCAGAAACAATTTTTTTTTTTTTAAAAAATTATAACTTTTCTCTAATACTCTGAAATTTTTCATAAATATGGGTATTCCTAGGAATTCTGGATAAGTAACTTTTTTGTCCTTTTTTTTTTCTCTTTTTCCCTTGATTGATTGATGGAAGTATGCAAAAACTGGTGACTGATAATTACTGATTATGTTATCTATTTTTGCTTTTGTCAATATTGTTCATTATTTCTGAATCTTTATAAGCAAACCTTAGGATTGTGAAAGATTTTCTTGATCAATTTCATTTTCTAGTTTATGAATGATTTGTTTTCTGTATAAAGTCAGTTATTATATTGTGATATTGTGTTTATTATGCTGAATTTTCTTTATGTGAAAGTGAGAAATTTGCCAAAACTAATGTTGATTCCTTTATTATTGCTCATTTAAATCATTTCTTTACTCTTGAAGTATTGTGACTGATTCCTTTTTTATTGCTCACATAAGTGCCTTAGATCACTTGTTTACTCTTGATGTATCACTGTTTATTATTATTTTTTATTGATAACAAAAGTGCCTTAAATCACTTGTTTACTCTTGATATGTCACTGTTGATTTTTTAATTACTGATGTCACTGTTAATTGTTGTTTTCACTGCCTGGTTGAATTTTTATTTTATTTTTTTAAATAAAAATTAAAAAAATTTTCTATAAAATCTTTTTTAAACATATTTTGATTTCACAGTCGCATCAATTTTAAATTTTGAATGTTCAGATAGATAGTAACTTATTTCTTATTTTTCATCACTGAATATTGATTATTAAAGTATAGTAATTTTGAAGCTCTTGAATATTTAAGTATTTCAGGATGTGTAGCATTTGTGAAATCAATGCTCTATGGTGCTAGTTTTTGGTTTTAATTTATTAAAAACCCATAAATGGTACTTATCTTTTATTGTGTGTTTATAAGTAATACTTAATTTTGCTTTTCTTTCCAAAATAAATTTTTTTAAAATTGCTTTGACAATTGTAGCCAAGAGTTCAGGCTTTATCTCCTATTCTCTGAAAGCAATCCAATAATATTTCAAATTTTTGCTGAATTCTACTAAACATTGCCAAATATTTTCGCTGATAGCAAAATAAAATGTTTTCATGCCTTAATAATTTCTTTGCTGTTGAAAAAAATATTTAAAAAATTAAAAGGTGCTTAAAGGTACTTATTTTTTTTTTGTTTAAAAATTTGACTATGCATCCTGCATTTGAAAAGTGCTTATAGAATTTTAGTCTCTGAACTCTTTTGACTAATTTTCTATTTCCTGAGTCAAAAGCTAGTTATCATAAAACTTATAGTCCCTGAACTCTTTTGCGAATTATTTTGTATTTCCTGAGTCAAAAACTAGTTGTCATAAAACTAAGTCAAACACTTGCCATATTTTCCACGCAGTCATGATATATTGGTTTTGAGTTCCTTATAGCTGTTGGCGAAGCTTCTGTTTTTAGCTATTTATTTCCAGGACTGATTTAATAAGTCATAAAAATGTGTGAATTACATTCATTATTTTTCAAAGTAACATTATATAATTCTCTTTTTGTCCATTTTTAGAACAACTTTATATGTGTGTTTTATGCTTTTATATTCATGTATTTTCTATTTTGGAATTTACTTCACTTGTCAGAGTCATCCAAAAAAAAAAAAAAAAAANATCAGTTATCCGGAATAGCGATGGTCCCGATCGTTCCGGATAATCGGTTCCCTACTGTATTTTCTATTTTGGAATTAACTTCACTTGTCAAAGTCATCCAAGAAAAAAAAGAAAAAAAACTTAATTCTTAGAATAAAGAAGCATTCCTAATAAGAGCTTGCAGGTGGAAATTACTTTTAAGCATATTATATAATTTCATATATTTTCAAGATTTTTTTAGATTAGCCTGGAAATGTATAGCTGAATCTTGAACTTTTTGATCATCTTTAGTATATAAATTTACATTTAGCATTTCATTGGCTTAAACATGTTAATAGGAAAAAAAAAGTACAAGTTTGAAATTCCTCAAAACAAAATATTCACATGTGATTAAGTATCTATGTAATGTATCCTTATAATATTTCAGTGCTTATGTATAATTTTTGGTTATGATATTTGTTAATTAAAATTATCTATCTATAAAAATCAGCATTGTAGGAGACTTTTTTTTTTCTTTTAGAATTATGTTTCATAAATGTTTACATTTTTTGTTATTATTTCTTCTGCGTTATTAAGATTTCGTTCACCTTATGGCAGAGAAAACATGTTCTCTGAAATGTTATGAAAATTTTGTGATATTGTTATTTTATTGTAACTATGTTATGTTTAGCATCCTTTATGTAAAAGAAGATCTTAATTTTGTAACTTAGTAAGATCAAAGTTTTTTCTCGAATATTGCATTTATTAATATCAAATTTTGATTCTGAATTATAGGTTCATTCAGAGAAAAAACATTATATACCTCAATTACTTCTTTTTACATAAAAATCATCTTTATTTGGTTTCCTATTAAATTTTATCTGAACAAACAATGATTTTTTTCCTTCTGAATCAGTTCATTTAAATTTTAATAACGGAAACATTGTATAACTTTGTATAAAATTTAAATTTTTTATCTTTTTACCATTCAGTACAATTTATATCAGAATATAAAATTCTGATTGTTTCATTCTATATTTTTATGTATATATATAGTTCATGCTTTTGCATTTACTGCTATATATGTTGAGCGTATGTATATATTTTGCTTTTTTTTCTTATTTTTTTTATTATAACTTTTCTATTGTATGTGTTATGAATAAAGTTTGAACGTTACTTCATACAGTTTTCTTTTTCCTTGGCAGCTGTTTTTCTCACCCAATAATTTATGATTTTTCATAACACAGTCTTTACACAATCATAATATTTACAATCATTACACAATATTTCATAAATAATGTAATTAAATTTTTCTAGATGGCCTTGTGCTTTTCAGATATGTTATAAAATAATTCTATACACACAGGCAAACTGGGTTTTTTTCCCCCGGAGTTGGATTGGATTGGTTCATATTCTAATTAATGAGTTGAAAAAAATTATGTACTATTGTAATCACTGTTTCAAACATGCTATTGCAATATGCTAAATTTTTTTCCCTTCATGAATTTGGATATTGTGAACCACTTTGTATAGTGGACTAATTGTTGGATCTGCAGATAACGGAGTTTGAATAATTATTTAATTACAAATTTATGAGTAAGGTGAATAGTGTAGTAGTAGTAGTATATAAACAAAAAATTAGTCACCCTAGTGCTCAAGCACGGATGAATCCTTAGGTTTCGTTAGATGACGCAGTGGTCAAGCGACGTGCTCAACTGCATGCACATTGCTTCAACCTGATCAAAGACAAGTAGTTATCTGTGAGACATTTTTGTTTGAACTGAAAATTATGTGTAAATATGGGTAAGAGTAAAGATGTGATAGTGGCAAAAAGGGGCAATTGTGTTTGGCTGTGCCAATGGTCATATGGTGAATGAAGTTGCTGGATTTGTTGTCGTTTCAAAGCTGACTGTTCAACGTGTCTACAAGCAGTGGTGTAATATACGTGGTCGGAAAAAGATCCTGCATGAAAGTGACCGGAGACGTGTTTCACGACTTTTCAATCAAAANTGTTTGGCTGTGCCAATGGTCATATGGTGAATGAAGTTGCTGGATTTGTTGTCGTTTCAAATCTCGTGTCTACAAGCAGTGGTGTAATATACGTGGTCACGAAAGACGCCGTCAAAATTGTGGTCGGAAAAAGATCCTGCATGAAAGTGACCGGAGACGTGTTTCACGACTTTTCAATCAAAATCGTTGCCAAACTGGACAGGAATTGCTTCAGTTACTAAATGAAGATCCATCCCATCCTGTTAGTGAGAAAACATTGCTAAGGGAGCTGCATGCAATGAACATATGGAGTCGAACATCTCGTAAGGGGTCATTGCTCAAAAGGCTACTCGACTTCTGTGGACTCTAGAAGTCACCGAACGTGGATAGTTGCTGACTGGCGGAATGTAATGCGGTCTGACGAATCACGTTTTTGCATTTATTCAAAAGACGCACGTCTGCTAGTGCAACGCAGACCAGATGAAGCATTTCATCCTGACTGGGTGCAAGCCGGAGGTGGGTCTGTCATGTCTTGGGGGTGTTTTTCTTATTATGGACTGGGTTCCCTCACTGAAGTGGCCACTAACATGATCCGGCATGTTTATTTAAATGTTCTGGACATTTCGGAGTTGCCTTTCAGTCACCTTCTGCATGCAGAGTGTGTTGTCGATACCACTATTTTTCAAGATGACGACAGCAAAGTTCATGGGGATATGTGACTGGTTTTATGAACACTCAGACACTCCATTACATCTCGGCTGGCCTGCGAAATCACCTGACTTGAACCCCATTGAAATTTTGTGGGACATATTGGAACAACGGGTAAAACGCCAAAATCAGCATTCTCACAATTTGGTGAATTTGCGCCAACAAATCCTCAACGAGGGGCTTAAACTGGATTCGACGTACTTGCAAAACCTTGTGAGCTCACTTCCTAACCGAATCCAGGCGGTTATCAAATCCAGAGGCGGTGTTACACGTTATTACTCGAGCGAGAGTTTGTAAAAATAAAGAAATAAGTTCTTGAGCGAAAAATAAATTTTCTGCAACAAATGAAAGTCAAAAGGCTGAAACAAAATTCCCTAAAAATAACTAAGTTTTCAATTAATTTGAGCAAACTGAAATTTCGAAATAAAATTTGCATTAATAATGTACATAAATAAAACATGCAGAATTCGACAAACTTTCAGCATGTCGAATCTTGACTCCGTAGTTGCATTTCTGCAGACTACAAATTGACCAGAAATGGTTTTTTATCCTACTAGTTAATAATTATTGGGTCTTAATTTTTTTTTCATTATGTCGTATTCCCTGTACTTTTTTCTACACACCTTTATAATTTCAAGTTTCTAAGTCTTCTTGATTTAATGGCGCAAAACAAAATGAAACGTAATGCAAAAAGTGATAAAAAATTCGCAAAAAATCACTTTTACAATAACTTTCGAGAAAGAAAAAAACTTAGTGTTAAGTTAATAAATAAATATGGAAGCATAGTAAATTTCAAATCCCCAAGTTGCATTCTAGCAGGCAATATGTTTTCCCCTGAAAGTAGAAGTGTGATTGATTCTTTGCAGTTGTTTTTGGTTGGTACCCTTTTAAATATGAAAAGGGAAAAGTAGAATTTTCGACTAATTTAGCCTTTTTGCTATAAAAAAAGTTATGCTAACCGTGAGAGGTTTTCATGGTCTTCCTCTCTAAGTATCGCAAATGCGGGTTAGTTTCATCAAAAAGTCCTCCACGAAGGTAAAATTTCTCCCAGTATTGATCCAGGAGTTAGTTCCCTTGTCTTCTGGATTGGGTTCAAAATTGCAAGGCTACGTAGTTGAACATTAATAGTCGTAAACCCAAAAAAGTTGGGTCGACTGTTCAACGACGGTTATAAAAGTATGACGCGCCAAGCCATTTTAAACTATTGAAGAGTCAATAAAAGCATTAATTGACGCTATCTGGCGAATAACAATACACTCGAATTCGACCCATGTTATGTTTAATCTTGAAGCTTGACATATGGTTTCCTCGTGCTTTTACGGTAAAGAATTTGTGAGATTTGCTGCTCAAACGGCAAAAAAATTATCCATTTTTGAAGTGCATCATTACTGGGGACAAGAAATGGATTGTCTACCACCATGTTGCGCTCTCTAATTTTTTTAAATTGGTAAAATATTTACCTCAAATAAGGTGATCAAAAATCACTTGTATCAGTTTTTTGCCAGCAAAGATCAAAAATGGAATCGTGCTACTGTCAGAAAGTTAGCAAAAGGTATGGGACCGAAATTAACACTGTGTGATTCAATAAAATATTTATTCACTATAAGAAAATCTCCTTTCATTTTCATAAATAAATAAATACTTTCAGAACAGCCTGATAACTCTCTAACTATCGAATGTTAAATATTTTTATCCCATAGTGCATTTTTGTACACGTCTTGTAGTGTTAAGTTTCAAATTTTTGCGCAACAAAACAAAAATTTAATGTAAAGTTGAACAGCATCAGCCTTTTTTACAGTTTTTAAGTCGAGAAATATTTATGATCACTACGTTGAAATTAATCGGATTTGACGAGTTTAAATGCTGGTGGGAAATAAAAGAAGCTTACTTTACTTTTTTGCTAGGCATTATTGGGTACATATTTCTCTCAAACTTATTAGTTGGAAGGTATGATTCCATTACTTCATATAGAACAAGAAGTCAATTTTAAAAATAATGTATTAAATCACCCTATCTGTTGGTAAATATAGGCTGACGACCATGAAGCTAAAGTAAGATAATGCGCAAGTTATTATTGTTTTAATAACACAGGTGGGGATATCTTATCATTTTGAAGCTGATAAAAATATTATCAGTGAGTGAAAAATGCGGGTGCTTTGAATGAAGTTGCTCTTATTAAATTCATATTTATACTTGAGAATGGAAACCGTTACTTTCGGAAATATTATAATCCATTTTCATAGCTCTTGTGAAAATGGATTTTACTGTGAATGGAAAATTGAAAATTTTAGTGGTTTGGAATATAACGTGACAATCCAAAGCGCAGAGTTTTATCTGTCTCCGAAATGTGCCTGTTTTTTGGAATTAAAACGACCCTCTTGGTCGAAAATAACTTTAAACTTGTGTAACAGAATTTCCGTAGCTTCAGGGATACTCTTCGAGATCAGCGCATCACGGAGCCATGGAAAACTGTTTTACAACAATTCTGCTACCATCCATTGCTCTAAAGCCAACCAGAAAACAGATTTATTAAGTGATTGTAAGTTACCTTCCTTAAAAAATGAATCACTGACTATTGTTTGTTCCATGAAAGTAATTAGTGCTATTCCACCGTACAACAGACCAATGCAAAAGACATCTACGATTGATGATATGTTTGAGGCAACTGAAAGTAGCTGTTTGATCTGCGCAATTCCTCCCTGCAACGGACCAGTACATAATACATTGACGATTAATGGTATCTTTGAAGCAACTGAAAGTAACTGTATGGTTAGTGCAATTCCTTCAAGCAACATTCTTGAGCAAAATACATCTACGATTAATGATGTCATTGAAGCTACTGAAAGCAGCTGCATGGTTAGCGCATTTCCTCTCTACAACAGGCCAATACAAAATACATCAACGATTAAGGACATCTTTGAAGCAACTGAAAGTATCTCTATGGTTAGCGCAATTTCTCCATGCAACAAATCAATGCAAAATACATCAACGAATAATATCTTTGAAGGTGAAAGTAACAGTATCATTAGTGCAATTCCTCCATGCAACAGACTAGTGCAAAATACGTCTACGATTAATGACGTCATTGAAGTAACTGATAGTAGCTGTAAGAAACAACCTTCTTTGATGAATTCGGAAGTTTTCGAACTTGAATCTCTGAAGAGACTTTCGAATGATTTCTCAAAAATTTTTGAACAATCCATCAACACCGACTTCACTTTTTGTGTAGATGGCAACGACTTAAAAGTACACAAAACTATCTTGCGTGCCCGATCACCTGTGTTTGATAGAATGCTTAATCATATCACTGGCGAATTATTCGATTTGTCAAACTCAATCGATATAACAGATATTCGATTACCGGCGATGAAACGATTTGTGAATTATTTGTATTCCGGGACTTATAGAAGAGCAAGTTTCGATGAGACCTGCGATCTTTATTATGTCGCTGATAAATATGAAGTTCTGACTCTGCGTGATTCATGTCGGAGGGAGCTGCTTAATATTCTGCAAGTCAGCAATGCATGCTCTTTGCTGAAACTTGCAAACCACCATAGCGATGATGTTTTGAAGAATGAAGTGATGAAATTTATTGAAACACATTTCAAATCCATTGTAGAAACTGAATCTTGGGAAGAACTGGTTAACAACCACACGAAATTGGCGGCAACTGTAATGCGGATTTGTGCACGAGCATTATCCGTATGAATAGCCTGCGATATTTAATATGTCGCTGATGAGTATAAAGTTTCTTCTCTGCGGGATTCATGCAGAAGGGAACTTCTTAATGTTCTGCAAATCAGCAATGCATAATCTTTGTTGATGTTGATACTTGAAAAACGAAAAGAGAAATTTATTCGCCCTGAATCTTAGGACAATGTCCTGAATAGGTTTATATAGCAGACTTTGCAGTCAAATCATGCGAAATCTTTTTACCATTGCATTTTAAATTCATTCCGGAGAATTACACAGGTAAAAAGTGTATGCAATTTTAACATTTTAGTTTTACTTCTTTTATTAATTCTTGGTTCAAAAAAAGATGTTAACTACACCAATTTTTTGACGTTTCAAAATTTAATGAAAATCTTGTCAAGTGAAATTTATATATAAAATAAAAGTGCAAATCTTAGAAAGAAGGTCCTTTTGAAAATTTCGGTAGAATTCATAAAATTTGATAGATTTTGATTTTAATATCTTTACTAATAGTTAGAGAGGCACAAAGACATGCCAACTTTTCAGGATAATATTTGCTTTGGATAGTAACTATTAGTTACATGCAGTGTCAAACTGTTTTATTTATCAACTTTTTAAGAAAAAAAATTCTTTGTTTAATTAATTGCTCCAATTCAATTTATTTTTAGTAATCTTATTCTAGATTGGTTCTGATTGCTTCCACATCTTTACTTACAGTTATCATGGTATCTTATAAAAATTAAAATAAAATGTCCAAATAACCTTTTACGGTGATGTTTCAATTTTAAGATTAACTTAAAATTAACACAAATGGCTGTTTTAGAAATAAATTATATATTCACTGCAAGAGTTAAAATGTCATGGTAATGTATATGCATAGCGTATATGCATTATGATAGTATTTTCAATTACTAGTACTCAATCTTAATGATTTGAAGGCATAACCCTAACTACTAAATATGCTAATTCATTTGTGTAGTATATATTATATTATGTGAAATCATATATTTTAATATGTGAAATCAGATATTAAATACATGATTTCACATATTAAAAATATTTAATATATTTTAATACGTGAAATCTGACGCAAAGACGCATATTTTTATAATAAATATACTTTTTTTCGAAGGTTTTGGATTCTCGATTCTTAAAATATGATCTCTATAGTTTAGATAAGAGAATAATCTATTATTGAAACTAATGTTGTTAAATCAGCAAATAATAAAAAAATTCAGTGCAGTTATATTTCAGTGTTTTCCCCCTTCAAGACCGGCTGAATGAGAAAGAAGCGTTACTCCAGGTCCACTAATTCCAAGAGCCCGCGTACTAAAGAGTACGTATCCGCACTTATACGAGAGTATCGTATTGAGATCACGTCCATGTGATTCTGGACCGCTAGATTAATTTGTTTTACATGTGACCGTGAAGAGAGAATCGCGTGATCATACGTGATCATGTTCCTAAAAGAATTAAACTTCCAGAAAAGTAGTCTATTGCTGAAACAGATGTCGCAAAATTAAGTAATATAAAAAAATAATAATAACATTATAGTTATATTTTAGAGTTCAAATTTCCAGAAAAATAGTCTAATAACCAGCGTTGCAAGATTCAGCAATGTATAAAAAATATTTTCTTGGTCTGCATTAATCCTATAATTGCGCAATTAGTTTATACATTGATAAAATTGATATTACACAGATATATATATTGTTGTCTTAATTCATATTCGTGTTACTAACACATTACTGATTGCACATTATTTCAATTTTTGAAAACCAAGGGTGATATAGAATATTCCAAAGTTTAATTTCATTTGATTCAATATAGACAAAATTTATTGGAGTTTATTTAGAATGTTTTGCCTTCACATACTCTATTAGAAAATAATAGATGGTGGCCTAGCATAGTTTCTGTGTAAAATTACCAGTCAACAAAGTGTTAAGATATTTTAATTTTCATTTGAAATCAATTGTTTTCCATTGTTTTTTCATTAAACTATTGAATTTATTATCTTAAGAACTAATACTTAGTAAATTTTGTTGAATTTAATCAAAATTAAATTAGTTGAAAGTAGGCGTTACTTTTTAGAACATAATTAGGCGTCACTTACATAGCTAAAGCAACTTATATACATAATATGGTGCGGGATAGCCTGGTTGGTAGGGCATTGGACCCATGTCCATGAGGTCGTCAGTTCGCAAATGCTCCTAACAGCAACATTTTCCTGATATCAAGTTTATTTTTCCCTTATGTTAGTTTTTCGAAATCTGTTTGTATCGAGTCATCCTATCCCTGCCCCTACAGGCTTGTCCACTTTAGTTTCTACTATTTAAAAAAAAAACATAAAATAGAATAAAATAAAAATGTGTTATATCAATAAAACATTCGTAATTGAGGTCTCTCAATTTAGGGTCATAATTTAGCTATCTTATTAAAACATTCGTAATTGAGGGGGAAATTATATCTTCTCTATGTGTTTAACCTCCTTTTCTAAAAACATTCAAGTTACACCTACTTTCCACACTAAGTTTAATTTTTGGTTTACTAGTTACGCCTACTTCTAACATCTCAATTTCTCCACTCAATTTCGCCAAGAGTCCGAAAGATTTCGAATTCTTATAATAATTATTCCATGAAATTATGCATTTTAATGTGGAGTTTTTTTGTTTGGAAAATAATATAAAAAATTTTAATACCGAGATTTGGTTTTAATTTGTAATTAAAAATTTTAGTAAGAAAAGCAAAATATTCAAATTAACATTTAGTAACTAAAAAATAATTACATTACATAATCGAAGTATACAACCAAAATAAATATATCTTGGTAAACACTGAGATGTGATTAACTGTACAAAAATGTTTCTTGCCTGCATTCGTCGTTAAATAGCTTTAAAAATTCCACCGGCATCTTAATTGAAAAATTAAAAAAAAAATTCAGTTCTTCCTAATCAGTCTGACATTTTTTAGTCTTATTACAATCAGCCAATATGCCTTTTGCGCCGATTAGGAAAATTTAGAAGAGTTACTCAATTATAGTCGCAATCACAATGCTCGAATACGCCATCTGGAGAGAAGAGCGGTTCCATGGCTTGACCGTTTCTCCTTCCCTCTCCTTCTCTTCTCAGTTGTATAGGAATGTACTACGATATTTTCCCCTTTCTTAATTCTTTTTCGTATTTAATTGCCACAATTATTTTTTCAAATTTTCACTACGCTTTCTTTTGGAACTATGTTCAATGTAGTTTCCGGTTCCATATAGTCTCTTAACTTAAAAGTTTTAAATCTATTTGAAAACCAAGACTAACGTACTTTCGTCTCCCATGACTCTCCATACGTTAATAGTCAAAGCATGCAAAGTGTTACCATGGGCAGAGAGTTCTGCTCTACGCCACATGCAGCCCATTTCGATAGCCAATTAAATTTGTTCTGGCTCAGTGCAATAAACATTTAATAACGCTATTTAAAGTTAGCATTCACTGCTTTTGTTAGAAATTTCTCGGAATATTTGTTATTCCGTTGGAAATTTGTTAGAAATTTCAATATGAATAACGTAGAGTGAAGCCTCTAGGGAGCGACCACTCTCTGTTCCACAGTGAAAGGTAGTAATGGAGGTTGTTCGCTCTTAGACACCTCAGTGATAGGCAAGCGCTCTATCTCCTGATCCACCTTGGATCTCTTGTTGTAAGGTTTTTATTTTATAACCGTTGTTGAACAGCCGATCCAATTTTGGGTTTACGACTACTAATGTTCAACTCCGTAGACTTGCAATTTTGAACCAATCCAGACAAGCCAATTCGACAAGGAAACTCCTGGATCAGTACTCCCAGAGGTATTGATTTGTTATGGGAACATGGAGGACTTTGCAACTCGACAGATTTAACGTGCATCAGTCACCATTTACTACACGGGGAGTTTTCGGCAGGCAGGGATCGAACCCACGATCTCTTAGACATGGGCCCAGTGCCCTACCAACGTGGCTATCCCGACCTTGGTTGTAAATTTTAGTCCTTTTTACTACTAAACTTATTTTGACATCTGGAATTTTTCGAAAAAAAGTGTATCACATTTTGGCACCTTTTGCGTATGGGCGCCCTGTGACACTTTTACTCATGTTTTTCGCCGGCTGTATTAAGATAAGAAATTACTATTATTAAAAGAAAAATTAAAAAAAAGTAAACAAAAAATAAAGCGAATAAGTTATGGTTTTTATTCATAAACTATTAATTTCATTTCCTGTGATTCTTAAAAAATTGTCAACAGAAATTAGAAAAAAAGGTGTGCACAATTTTGATCTTGTAACAGCCAGCAGAAATTGAATTGCAACTTTCCATTATCAGTGTAAGTTATGATACATTTTTATGCAATTTACTTATTCAAATATCGTATGGTGTGTATGCATTGATATTTTACACAATTCATTCGTTCACGAAAGATAAAAAAGACAATGAAAAATATGACGTTTAGTCCATTAAGTTATGAAGTGGTTGACATTTGCATTAAGAAAAAAGAGAAAATGATATTACAACACAGGAAACCTATACAGTGACGCCCAAAGAATGATTAACGTAAATGTTGATAACATGCTTCGATTCTTAAGTCATGATTTCTTAATACAAACTAAGATCATTTTAAACTTGTTACTGATATATATTTGCTTTGCATTTTTAAGAACAGCGGATAGCGTTGTCTTATTATTAAAATACACTTAACAATACATTCCCAAAATTTAATATTAAAATATCTACCAGTATTTTAAAAAGAAAAATTGTTTTATTATTTTTGCCTCAGCTTTTTATAATCGTGCCTTAAACTAATGAGTAAGGAAAATAACGTGCCTTGGTAACGCTTGGCACCGCCAAGAATTACTTGGTCGTAATTTTTGGAAGGGTACAGGTCGTCCCTGTGTGACCTACCTACTTTCGTAGGTTGCTGGGTTGTTGTGATCTGCCCTCATTCAATAAGAATAGATTCAAATTCTATAATTCTGTTTTTCTTCTTTTTCTTTTTTGTTATTTTTTTTTTAAATTTAAATTTTTTTTTTATACAGAGCCATTAAGCGTGTAACCATTACTGTACTTCAACAAATTTGAAAATTTTTAACTAGTTGATTGTGTTACATTTTTGCATGTGCATTAGCGCACACCATTAAAAGTAACGCCTACTTTCAATTAATTCATTTTCGATCAACCCCTTGCCAGTGTCGCCTGAATCCAGTTCGGGCAACTAATACGTGCAGTATCTGTGATGCCCGAACTGACTTCGGGCAGGAGAAAAATTAACGTTTCTATTTTGTGAAGCCCGAGTTGTGTTCGTTTCTACTTTAAGATACTTGATTCAATATTTTCCTAATAGATGTGGTCATAATTTTTTACCAATTACGACCTCAGTCAAGGGAGGGAAAATGTGGGTGTCGTCAGGTGTTGCCATACTGCAAAAGATTTTTGATTGATTGATATGAGTGGAATCTCGGTGTTAAGCGCGAAGCGCTTCTAACCGATTCATCTATACTGTTTTGGCATTNAAAACTTTTCCGCCGCGGGCAGTTCAGTGATACGGCATAATTGCGAAGCAGAGAAAAACACGTCTTGTCTCTAGCAAGGCTTGAGCTGGTCCTTCTTCTCTCGGCCTCCAAGCCTTCAATTCAACAGCCTCCCTGCAAAAGATTTGTAAAATTTATGTATCATATTGTTGTGTTTTTATATTATATTATACTAGCTACATTACATTTAGCTTCAAAATTTTGTTTAATTTGCTCTAATTGAATAAGATGTGTGAGTAATCCATTACTTTTTTATGTGTATGTAAAAATTATAAATACAGTAGTTATTGCATTTAAAATTTTATTTTTGTAACAAAAAAACCATTTTCCAACTTTTATAACGAACAAAATTAAACAGTCAGAAAAATTTTCCATTTTTGGTTTATTTTTCTGAAATATATGTCACTGTTAAGGGGTTAAATTACAATAGTTTATTTACAGTTTCAAGGCCGCTAAACTGATATTGCCGTTTCACTACAATAGGAGTAACCATTTGATTACTTGCCATCTTCTCTCGCCTTTCCCCACAGATTTTTCTGGGATATTTTACGTAGTTGTTCCTCTTTTGCATCACCATGTTTAATTAAACTTTTTTCCTAATGATTTTGACTACCTCAAAATGTAAACTCTTACAAGAAAAAACCTGAAAAAATCGTTATTTTAGTGTATGCCGATGGTGCGTAAGTGCATAGTTTTTATCATTGTGCACTAACTTTCGTACGTTCATCCTGCGCGATATTAATTCTGGCTATGTGCGTGTGTTTTGCTTCCCGAGGTGTACCTGGTTTTTCTTCTTACTAGGAACGCTTCACGAGGAACCTCGAGAAACAAGATGGAAGGCAATGAAAATCTTCAAACAGGTGACAATGTTTAACCTGACGGTGGCTGAATTTCAAACATCCTAACTATAGTTTGATTCAAGATCTTAGCCTAAATATTGAAACGTTAAATAAAACGATAACTAAATTACAAGAGGACTTTAATCAATTTAGAATAGCAAGAAAACATCTATAAAGAACAAGATTATATACCAAAAAGTAAAAAAAATTATTTGAATAAGGGATTGTATGAAGCGAAAGCAGGGTTCCCACAGTTCTTGAAAAATTTTAGTGGTGGTAGTATATTTAGGTTAATATTAGAACATATTTCTTATTTGAATATACCACTTGATCGTTAGCATACCTGCCAACTTTCATTCTTTCCGAGAATGTATTTTCAGAGTGGTTGTAACACAATAAACGAAAAACAATCTGAGTCAAAAATATATTTATATTTTGATCCCGTTGAAATTCGCTTGAGCAAGGGTTATTACGCTTTCATATATTTATTGTAATTATTTATATGTAGTAGTGGTCAAACTCATTTATAATTATCATTATAATTCAAAAAGTTAATTGGAATAACCTGAGTATTGCTACCACTTTAAATATGAAAATAAAATCTTCCGGAAAATCCGGAAGAGTTGGCAGGTATGCGTTAGTGGGTTACTAAGCAGGAATTTTCATGCATATATACTTCCATTGGAAAAACAATTTTTAGTGGTGGTTACTAAGAAAAATTCAACTGTGTAGTTTAAAAAATGCAAATGAGTGCATAGACACAATCATTTTTGGAGAACAGTAATTGATTATGCAAAACTTATATTTTAATTATTTGTTTATTTATTTATTATTTTTTTGCAACTTTATAACATCGTATTTAGAATATTTTTCACAATTATAAGATATGAGCATAGAGAACATATTACTCTTGGGGGAGTCATTCAATGATGGTTTGGTGGTGTGGATTTCTTCACCTGGAGTTCCCTTACAAATAATCCCTGACTAATTTTCTTTAAAGTACTGTTTTTTCTTATATAATGTTTTACGATTTTATCTTTTTGCTATTGAACGCGTCTACTTACATACAAGTTATGTAGAAAAACCAATTTAAGTTTCTTTATCTTTGAAGAATAAAAAAAAATTCAAGTAGTCAATAAAAAGTACATAAAAAAAAAGGAAAACTCAGATATACTATATATTCATCTTTCTTCATTTATTTCAATACAAAAATTTTGAGACTTTTTTTAATGTATAGTTTTGCATCCAAACGATCAAGCCTTATGTGAAGAATTTCTATGAGCTTTTTCATCAAGAGTTTCTCAAATTTATAATACTAATGCTACTGATTTAACCCATGTAGTGTGGTTATTGTCCCTGATGCGGCTTGGTAATTGTACTCATTCATTAGATTTTAAAAAAAGTTTTTTTTTATTACTCAAAAATAAGATTTCGACTTCAAACAAGCAGTTTCAATGATGATTTTATGTGTGACAAGCATACATGGCAACGTTACTCTTAAAAAGTAACGAGTAAAAGTACAAGTATTTTTAAAAAAAGTAACGAGTAAAAAGTTCTTATTTTAAAAAGTAACGAGTAAAAAGTACAAGTAAAAGTACAAGTACTAAACAAAAAAAGTAACGATTTAAAAGTACATTTCTAGGAAATCGAAAATTCAAAGTAACCTAAAATTTTATTGAATAATATTCTTATGTTCTTTAATGTTTTTGCAAAATTGTTGTTATTTATTTAATTATTTTTAATTTTGAAAGTTATGGACATTAATTTATTTTTAAATTCGGAAGAATATTATAATATAATTTTATAATATAATCGTATAATATAATTTTAAAATCAAATATAATTTTAATATCAAACTTTTTATGGATTTGCACGAAAAAGAAATTTTATCTATTGATTTTAATTTTTAGTTTATTATTTTTATTTATTTAAATTACCATTGATTTAAAATTGTTTTACTCTATAGAAACGCGTTTTAAAAGCACAAACATAAACAAAGCAAACACGGGGTTTCAGATAGCTTTGTGATCTTTGAGCTAGTAAAAAATAATTGAATGTGCAGTATAAGTTGAAACAGAACAGCCTACAGTTTTATTTGTAACAATGGCTAATGCTGAAGTCATGCGAGAAAATCATTTTCCGAACATTTCTGCCTAACGGAATAATTAAAATTTTTAAACGAATTTTAGTATCAGCGCCTAAATTAATATCTTCGAGTTTTTAAGAGTTAAAATAGTAATTATAATAGTTTTCAATAGCACAAATAGTTCTGAAGTTCTTAGAGATTTGACTGGGCGTTGTTTGACAAGGTCGGGCGTAAACATAATTTTAGTAAAAAATGTACTAGGTAAAAATGTATTTAGAAAAAATGTATTAAGACAAAAATGTATTATTAGTGAGTTCAAAAGGAAAATTGAAAAACGTAATAACAAAATCAAGCATTTTTTATTTAAAATGTATTAAATAAATGTATAAAACTCGAAAATGAATGAAAATAACTACTAATATTTTTATTCATTTTGCAAAATAATTTCATTTCGAAAGTGGTATCACTGAGTCTGCTGCGAGAATTTCTCAGATCGTGCTTAGCCACGCTGAATAAGCGCTCAACGGGAGCACTAGAAGGTACTGCAGTATTATATTTCACAAATAATTTTTTTACGACTGGATATCGATTGGATTTTTTTTAGAAAGCTTACCGAGTTTTAGAAAAAAGTAACGATTTCATTCGACATTTCCGTTACAAATACTTGTACTTTTTCCCTAAAAAAGTAACGAAAGTACAAGTAAAAGTACTAAATTTAAAAAGTAACGAAGTACAAGTAAAAGTACGTACTTTTTACTTGTACCGGCGGTACAAGTAACGAAAGTAAAAGTACTGCCATATATGGTGACAAGCATGTTAAATATAAATTTAAAGCGATGATTTCAAAACTCTCTGTGTATGATTAAATAAAAAAAAATATTATGTTAATAAAAATAAGAATTCCCTTAAAAAGAATACGTTTTTAAGGATAAAAAATTCCTAAAAATTGCTCCTTTAAGTATAACAATTACTTTTCAAAAATAAACATTGTTTAGAAATGAAATATATACATAAAAAAATGAGCATAAATAATTCAACTAATTCTGTTATTTCTTATTTCTCTTTCAATCTTTTTAATTAAACGAACTTGTAACCTCTTTTTTGTAAGAACTTTCACACAGTTCTAATAGAGTTAGATGATTTATAACTAACGAAAATGAGGATAAGCGTTTCCATTCTTTCTATATATTTTACTCCATGTGTTTCATTCATTTGCAATAAACCCTTGGCATAAAGGTAGTGAAAAAGCACCATCTAATAGTTTATCGGCTAAGCAGAAGGAAAGAAAGACACGAGAAACTTTCAGATGAGAGACGAAAAGAAGTTCAAATAGCGAAAGAACGGTGTTTAGAAGCTGGTACACTCTTATTTTATTTATTTTCTCATTTCGATGCAAAAAAAAGGCATTCATTTTCACCAAAATATATATTTATAATGCAATCTACCTTTGCTATATTTTCTAAAACTAAAACAGAGTTAAATTGAAA